ATGGTCATGGTTGTGGTCATTGTGGTGGTGGTGGTCATGGTCATGGTTGTGGTCATTGTGGTGGTGGTGATGGTCATGGTCGTGGTTGTGGTCATTGTGGTGGTGGTGGTGGTCATGGTCATGGTTGTGGTCATTGTGGTGGTTGTGGTGGTAGGAATGAATTTTGTTTACTCACTTGTTTGATCTCTTTGAGAACAGATGGTATTGAAGCCAAGTATTTATTATACCCAAGGGCTCTTCAAGGCCAAGTTACTCAAAACAACTTATGGTTATTATATCTGAGATCCCATGAGTTAGGTATACCTTTTCTTTTCTATCTGATAAAAACATATTAATAAGGTTCCAGTAGATCTGGAAGCAGGCCTGATGATAACTGAGCATGATCTCAGATATCGTGGCTGTGAAGTCAGTGTAAGTTTGTCACAAGGGTCAGATGATAACTTATATGCAAGGTCAGGGACAGGATGGGTGGGTGTTGACAAATGCTGGCTAGATCCTCTTTTTTTCCCACTCTCCCATACTTTGTACCCCAAGATGCGCGCTGATGGTGTCCACCTGGAATAACATATTCACAACATCCCATAAGGGTTGAGTTCATGGTTGACCCAGGAAGGTCTAAGAGAGTTGTCTACTTTGAATAACTCACTAGCCAAGGGAAGAGCATTCTTGTAGTACAAAAGAAGTTTAGTAAATATTTAGAGGTTGAGATTAAACATCTTACTTAAAGGGCTGCCCCAAAATCAAGTTAATATTCTTTAGCCAAAGTAGACTTTCCCTTTTCAGAAAGTAGTTGATTCATAAGAAACTAATCAACCAACTAGATAGCGATCCTGTGATATGCATATACTCTGGCGGTGTTAGGAGCTTCAAGGTCACAGGCTAGTCCCTCCACAGTGTCATTGACAAGGATGTAACTCAGAGCTCAGACATGTATCATCAGGAAACATTATCTCTAAAAATGTCCATAGACATAGCAAAAGGTGACTCTTTAAAGGAGTCAGTTGTGTTTAAAGATGACTCTGGAGCGTTTATATCTGTATCTCACTTTCCTAATGCCCTGGCTTAGTGAGCAGGGTTCGAGTCTGGGCCTTGTCTGCCTTTCTCTTTATATGATGTGTACAGCTCTCTACAGTGAACTCTAAACTCATGACTCAGCAGAGTTGGATTAGGAGTCAGGGAAACAGCAACAAGCATCAGCTTCCAATCCAAGATCTCAAAGTCATTGTGCCAACCAAGGAAAATACCAAGGCCAAGAAAAGGCAAAAGCCTTGTTCAGAGTCCCACTGAAGAGGAGAAGACATAGAGCCGAGATCTGGATTCGTTGTCTTCTCTGTAAGTAGTATTAGGTACTTCTTGCCCAGATACACTTTGTCTACAGCAAGTTTAAAGCCCACAACCTCTGTGCAAAAGTCAGAAAGACATGGTTTTAAGTCTTAATCCACCTATACAAAACAGAGCATGCTATTTAACCTCTCTGACCTTTCACTGTCTGAGAGGTGGAGATGACACACCCCTTTACCAGTTTGGCCTAAGGTTGCAAAGCACCTGCCCCATCCTAGTTGTTCAATAAATTGTAGCAAAGTTTTAGGGATGAATTAAAGAATAGCTGTATGTAAGGGTGGCTAGAATCAAGGTAGCTGAAACCATGAATAAATTGTGTGAAAAGTACATAATATTTCATCAACTGTATGCACCCACCGCAAAAGGCAATTTTGACATGTGAATAGTACCTTAGAGTTTTAGAAACTGTTTCCACCCAAGGGAACATCCTCTTTGCCATGAGACTGTGGCCTAAGAATACAACATCCCCTGGGTCAGCAAACTAATAAATAGCAACCAAAACAGCTGACTACAGCTCTCCTGGTGCTCTTCCCTCTCAGCCCATTTCCTCCCTCCGTGAGTACCAGGATGCATCCTGCTGTGTCTTGGCCAAAGCTCACAGGCATGGTGGAGCAGGCACAGCCCAGGGACTAAGAGCAAGGGTTCTGGCACCAGGCTGATCTGGATTTAGGTCTCTGTCTTCATCATTTAGTCATTCGGTCGCTGAGTGATACTGGAAAATTACTGCTTTGTGCCTTGGTTTCTTCCTCTGTAAAATGAGGTTGTTTCTCACAAATTTACAGTATTGTTCCAGTAGTAAGATGAGATTATATATGTGTGTGTTTGTGTGTGTGTTCAAGCACACACACACACATACATTTGGCATCTTTTTTTCTTGGTGGCATTCTCTCCACAAATGTGTGTGTGTGTGTGTGTGTGTGTGTGTACATGTATACGAATATAGTGTTTATGTGTTTAGCACTCTGTAAATGTGGCCGTTATTATTGTGCATAAAATAGGAGTAATACCAACCTAGCATGAAGGGCTCTCGATCAAGAGGAGCCAATGAGCGGTCCAGGGGAGGTTTTGTGCTTCTGTCTATTGATGGAGGAGGCACTGGAGTAGAAAAGGCTGAGGTCAGTTAAAAAGAAAAAAAAAAGAAAGCATCTGGCTGGCGACTGGGTAGGTGGGCTGGTGGGCAGAAAGCAACTCTGTGCTTACACTTTGCTGTTTTGTGGTTTCGACTTCTGCTGGGCTCTTCATGGTTGGGCTGGGGTGGAGACAGTGGCTGCACAGAATTTTGAAAAAGACAATCAAAATGTTTAGAAGCTTTTCCACAACAGCTTCTTTTCATCTTGATGACATTCTCTCCCCAAATATATCTGAATCATTTTCCTTCATCGTCCGGTCTGACCCACAGCTAGCTGTCCCTTCTGTCAGCTGAGCTGCTGAAGCTGTGCCCCTCTGAACTTCCTTACTCTCTTGTGCTCCAGGCCTTCTGCACAGCAAAGGACCAGGCAGAAACTTCCCTACCAAGCCCTCCAAAGGTCTAGTCACATTAGAAGTGAAACATGAGCCCCCTGGGAAGCCCCACACGAGATTCCCTGCCCACCTTTTGAGGCATTTTTATGTTCCTCTCTGATGCTCCCTGCATAAGGATTTCTTCACAATTCTCACAAAACCCAAAGCTCATGCATACTCTCTGTGCCTGTGTTTCCTCTGCCTGGGATGTCTCTTCTGCTTTCCCTAAGACCGGCTCGTCCTGTGCCAGCTCAATGTCAGCTCTGTACCCTCTGTCATGTTACTGGGCCCCCTGCCTTCCCAAACCTCATACTCAGATCATTCCTACATCTGTGTGCTTGTTTATATCGACATGTTATGAGAGAAGGGGCATTCTGTGCTGTCCCATATTCTTCCACTGCCACAGAGCACACTGGTGTGAAGTAGCGGCCCAACCAATATCTGTCGAAGCGATGGGCAAAGCCTGCCTCTCAGTGGTAGAGGCAAAAGTCTTCAGATTTCAAAAGCAAAATGCCTGTGTAGATACACTGGGTTCCATGAAGCCCCTTTGCAGAGATGCCAGCAGGAGGGGACGATCTGCGTGAAGGGGATCCTCGCTACTGTGTGGGTCTTCGTATCTGCCAAAACCCTCCTCCCACCGCAATCTCCCCTTCTAGTTCTGACACTTTGGCTCTTGCCACAAAGTGGGACAGTTGCTAAAGTGTCCTGGCTCCTTGCAGAAAGAACACATCACCAGATACTGACTCCTTTAGACTGAACTTCATGAGCGCTCCAATAGGAGCTGGACTATATGCTGAAAGAAAAGGAAAAGTGGGTCTGTTTTTCTCGTGGGCTTCATTGTGTTGGAAATGCTGTGATCTTAAGGCGGTCATCCCTGGAATTTCTTGATCTTGCCAGCAGGTGGCGCAGCGCTGTTTGCAGGAGGAGGCCTATCTCGAGATTCTAGGTAACACCGGAAGATGCCCCGCCAGACTTGGTTCTCCCACAGTTAAATAGAGGAGGTAGCACAATTATTTTGGAAGGGGAGTGTCTCATTATACACGCAGTTCATATTGTTTGCGGTGCCAAAAGAAACCAATAAACATTATGACATACACAGAAACTGCTTATATATCATCACAAAAAAAGAACCACTGAGCGGAACGTGAGGGTGTGCATTTTCCCTGACATAACCGTCTCTTACAGACTTAGAATTAGGTAAAGATGCTTAGTTCCTTTTCTGTTTACTGGAAGAAGGAATTGTTGTGGAAACAAAGCGTCCTGGAAGAAAAGTAGGAGGCTTACCGAGTGATTCCGGCCTGTTGGCAGGGGAGGGAGGGCGGCCATTGGTCTCTGCGGGGGCACCGGAGGCTGCTGGGAGACCTTGCTGGTGGGAGGCCGGTCTGCGGAAACACAATATTAAAAAGAAAGAAGAGCCGTTTAATCCCACTCAGGAGACAGAGGTAGGCACATCTCTGAGTTCAAGGCCAGCCTGGCCTACAGAGCTAGTTCCACAACAGCCAGGGCTACACAGAAAAACATTGTCTCGAAAAACAAAACAAAAACAAACAAACAAAAAACAAAAAAAGAAAAAGAGAAGAAATAAAAATTTGAAGTGAGTGTTGTCAAAGTCAGTCTTCTACAACATGTTGTGCCTGGCTGTGCAGCTTGAGGTGCCTGACCCTTCTCCTCCAGATCTCCACCAGTACCAGCATGAATCTGAGATATAGTCAGACCCAGCCTAGGTCCTATAGGAGGCAGGAAGTCCTTGGCCCCGATATGTCCCTCTTCCTGCAGATTTGGTTTTACTTGTCTTATACATTGGAATAACTCGCATTGTACCTCACACAAACAGGTAATATCTGAGACACTGCCAGTCAAAGGAAGCCTCTACAGAGTTACCCCAGTGAGTGTTTTCAGATACAGTTCTACGTGTATGGCCATTCAAATGTACATATGCATGCACACATGATCTCTGTGCATATATATGTACATATGCAAATACAGAGCACAGTGTGTATGTTCAACATGCATGTGCACACATGTGTGCCAAGAAACATGAGTGTCTGCTGGCACTTAAGCATGCACAGAGACACATGTGTGCATGCCTTTATATGCTCACACTGCACATGCAGATGCTTATTGGGATTAAGTTCACTGCCACCCTTATGAGCCCCTTATTCTGTTGCTTCCTTCCCTTTACAAGTCCTCTGGGCTGCTATGCTCTTCTACTTCCTCCTTTGTCTGTCTCCTCCCTTAAAGGGAGGAGTTGGCCCCCAATTCTGTTACCAAATTAAACAGCATATGGCCTCGCCCTAGACAGACACTCACATTATTCTGATTCCCACAGAACTGCCTAGAACCATCTTGACAAGTTTCGAATTTCTTTAGTGTTGCCTCACCCACTAGACTAAGAGTGCTCAAGGATGAGGTCTGTCTCGCTCGCTCACTCTGTGTCTTTGTGACAGGCACCTAGAGAAACATGCCAACCTGGTTTCCCTTTTCTGCTCCATTTTCCTAAGTCTGGAACAGCCTTGATGATGGCTGAGGCTCCCTGCCTGTTAGCTTTCCTGTTCTATCCTTCAATACACAAAGTGAGGTGGTGGGGCACAGTCTGAAGCAGAGTACAGAACAGCTCCCAGGGTGAGACACATTGTTCCCTGGATGCAGGGGAAGCCAAGTGTGCCTGTGTTCATTTTTAGTCACCTCCTCTACTAGAAAGTAATTCTCACCACACAAAGGCACACACACAGTGGATTCCAGGTGGATTCTAGCACACAGTGTCTCGTTCATAATAGGAGATATGTAACATCTTTGATTTTGTGAGTGGATGAATGAGGAAGAACATGAATACAGAACAGCAGGTAGATGAGGAGCATCCTAAAGTCTATCTCATTGCAGAACCAGTCCCTCTGAGTGCCCTCACATTTCTTATGACCTTCTGTAGATGGTGGTGCCACATAACTACCCTCTTCCCATCAAGCCTTTGTCCTCTGTTCTGGTATTAGCCTGTATTGCTCATGAGGAAACGGCCAGCGAGGCAGTCTTTGGCCTCAAGCCACCAGTTTTTCAGAAGCTCAATGAACAGCTTCTCCCAGGGCCGCCAAGACCAACAGGCTGCAACGAGGCCCTTACCGATGTACATTGAGTTGGTGTTGGGGAAAGGCTTGGCGGGCATGATGGAGCTCTGCAGAGCCTCCTCATCGTTGGAGGGCGGAGGCTCATAGTCAGCAGCATTGTCCATCAGCGCCTCTTCCTCCTCATTAGGGGACTCATAGTCGCCATCGTCCTCCCCATCTGGATCGTCATCGTTGGGACTTTCATAGTCATCTTCCTGTCAACACAGTGGAGGGCCGGCACAGCTTGTACAAGTGTGATAGGGCAACATTTCACAGTATGGATCTATGAGATCTCTGCCCAAGACCCCAGCATCCTCCAGCCAGATCTGTCTGTGATGGCCTCCAGAGACTGGGACACATGCTTTTGGGAAAGGATTGAAGACTAGCTTAGCCTCTGGCTAAGCATGGGAAGACATAAGAGGAGCCTTGGCAGGGATCCAGCTGCTGAAGCACAAACACATCTGGAGAAACTGGCTCTCTTGTTCCTTTGATACAAAATAAATCTATTGCATTCTTCTGTTTTCCCATTAAAAAAAAAAAAAACAGACTCTACCAAAAAACCATTTTTTTTCAAATGAAGTTGCTTTCATTTACTAGAATCTCAACAGGCCAAGGGCCACTCAGTGTATTGTTTTTAAAAGACCTAGAGGTGGCCATTTACCAGAAAGACAACTTAGACTGAGGGTTGGACAGCCTGGGACCCAGATCTGCCTCTACCTGACAAAGGGCTTTGCATAAGACACGTCCCTCTGGATCTCTCTCCCATCCCAGAATGCTTAGCCCCTGTCTAGCTTTGTGTGTGATGACCATGTGTGGTTTGATGAAAGGAGATGCATAGTCCATGGGACTCTGAAAGGTGTTATCATTGTCACCCTCCCCATGTAAAACTGGTCTGGGATTCTTTCTGGTGTTAACACTTGATTCTGTAATGCTTTCCCCTCTGTGTTACCAACAGTGACTTAATTCCATGAGGAAAGTTACAGTAGCATAGATTTCTAGAAAGATAGTAGAAAGGAACAGATTGCTCTTGGGTATGGCAGTAGTGATACATGACGTGGCCAGTAAGTTACAGCCCACCTCTGTATTCAGAGAGCCCATTCATCTGCTCACTGCCCATGGCTGCTTCTATGCCACAGAGGCAGAGCTGAGTAATAGAGAGAGAAAACCCTTTGAGCTTCCAAAGCTGGAAATATTTACTTTGGCCCTTTCCTGAGGCTTGAAATGGGATGTTTCAATGCCTTGTTGGTAGGAGGAGCTTGCTCCTTTTCTAGCATTAAGATAAATGTACAGCCATTCCAGTCATTAATACAAGGGTGATTTAGCCCAAGCCATACTCACAAAGGATGACCAGCCACCATCGTCTTCTTCGTGGCTTTCTGCAAGGGAGATAACACCACCATCAGCACCCAACAGAGAGTCAGAGCAGTTCTCCCTCCCAGTGTCCATCACATGCCCTCATCCCTTCTTCTCTGTGAATGGGGCCTCATCCCTTCTTCTCTGTGAACTGCTGTGTTGAGTACAGGTTACCCCGCCAGAACTCATGTTAAATCCTAATGTAATGGTATTGAGGGATAATGGGATCGTTAAGAGATAATTAGGTCAAAGAGAGCTCACGAATTGATTAGTATTTCTCCAGAGACTTGGGTTTTTCAGTTGCTTAGACTTATGCCCCTCACTATTCTCACCTTTTTCTGTGCAATGCGATTTGTAATGCATTCTTAACCAGAAGTTGAACTGATGATGGCACCATGCTCTTAGACCTTTAGACCTCTGAAATTAATGAACCTCTTTCCTTTATAAAGTAACCAGCTTTAGGAGCAGTGTTATAGCAACAGAAAACACACAGAGACAGCAACGTACTATTGGCCATAGCATTTCTATCTGAAGAGTTCATTCTACCAGAGAGCAGCAGTGGCACCTAATCTTTCTTGTGTGTATATAAAAGCCAACAAGGATTGTCTTCACAGAATAAGACCTGGGTCCTTATTCATGTGATGTCTTATTCAACAGGACTAGAAGGAGACCAGGACCCAAATCTAGATGCTTTATGCAACTGAACAATGGGAGACTGCCTAAAACACTCAGACACTGGCTCAGATGAGGTGCTCAAAGCTGAGTCTCTGCAGTGTACCTCTAAAGTAGCATCCTTCCTCTTCCTTCTCTCAGTGGGAACCCAAACCCCTCCATGCCAAAGACCTGGCTGATGAGCTAATGAGTCATTTCCCATGCACAGCACTCAAGGAAGCCAGAATCAAAGTACGTATCACCTCCTAAAGCAATTGTCTCACAGCCCAGGTACCTTTACCTGTCTCCTCAGGAAACCGTTGAACCTGGGGTCTGCAAAAACAAATATCATCTCAGTTGCCTGTCAATCTAAGGGCATCTCCTTTCCCCAGTCTAGTCCTCTGCACCAATAGATATTATGTCTCATTACCTAAGGCTTGTGCTCTTGTTGCTTCGCAACCAGAGTTTGGCTGCCTCTCCTCACCCCCCTCCAGCTTCTGGATACCACTAAAGCCACAATAGTGTCACAGAAAGAAACTTGTGACTGTTTAAAGATCTAGGGAATGTTCACTTGATGTCCTGAACCTGGGAGCAAAATGTTCATCAAGGAGAGGAAACTCCCTCCCCTCCTTGGGCACTCTCTTCATGACCCCTGGGACAGAGGGGACCACCACAGGTGGGGCAAGTGTTACAGATTCTTTTCAAGGCTCAGTTGGGATTTTAGCTCTTGAATTCCCCTATAGGGGTTCCTAGGCAAGAGCTGCCCACTCACTTGCGTGTGAAAATGCTCCTTCTCTCTTCATTCTTGTTGATATCTTGACTCAACTTACTGAGAATCCTACAAGATAAAGACACACATGAAGAGAGAAAGGAGGCTCCTCCTGGACTCCCCTTCCCTGGTCCACATGGTCTCTACGTTCATAGGCTCAACTTGACCAGTCTTCTTTTATGCCCATCCTTCCCAAGCCAGTCTCACACCTTGCTCCCACTTAGCTAAAACTTGCCATCTCTTTTGTCAGGACCTGTCTTTTGTCAATACCAATCACTTTTTTTGTTCCCATGAAGCCCTCCATCACATGTTGACCTATGTCTACTGAGCCTTCAATGACTGGCTCTGAGCTCTCCTGAAAATATGGTCAGCTTACACCTGCCTCCTCACTGCTCTACAGGATTGGGCTCCTAGGATCTGCATACTGGAATTGTATCAGTCACTGTTCTGTGGTTGTTCTCGAGTTACAGCTCACATATCACAACCACTGTGGTCCCCTGAGCCTTGGTTGATCATTCTTGTGTGGACTGCTTGCTTACAGTCATTATTAAACCAGCTGCTAGAACCAGAGGCATAGCTGCCCACGTGTATTTCTTACTGCAGCCTCCAATTGGGTGCTATTCATCCTGTTATATGCCCCCCACACACACACACACATTTTCCTTCTTTGTATCTACTTAGTAACATCGTGAAATGGTCAATCTTGCTTATCAATTTAATTCGATTGAAAGACACCTAGGAAATTAGGACATCACAATTCCCATGTGTCTGTGAGAATATTTCCAGAGATGATAAGATCATGAGAGCTTTAAACAAAGCAACATCTTAACTCATATGAGGCGGGACAGGAAACCAAGGCAAGTTATGGAGATATAGAAAAGAAGCCCCTCACCCAGAGGCTCTCAAAGACTCAAAGACCCTTGCCAGCTTAAAGTCAAGAAGTCAAGCACAATTGACATTTGCTGCAAAGGTATTCAGAGACATTTTACAGAGAAATATTTTAATGAGAACATTAAGATAGTAACAAGTCATGCTTAAGACCTATGTGTGCACCACCTTTCTCCTGGCCCAGCTGAAAGCCGAATGTTTTCTATGAATCTCACTAGAAGCTCCACTGGCAGTGAAAGTCATGCCTTCATCCTTGCACAGTCTTGTGGCTCATGGTTTATTTTTATAATATTGTAATCATATGGAGCCATCCTGTAATTTCACTTATCAAAAAGAGGCAGACAGGGAGGGGGTGTCTGCTCTTAGTAATCATTTGAACCGTAACTTGAGAACAGCTAAGCAGGACTTATGGGGATGGCTAAGGTACTTAAGAGCTACTGTCCTTGAAGGAGGCCATGCCACCCTCTCTGGTTATCTTCTTCTCCCTCTCTGGATATCTTTTTATCTAGTAACCCTACATATTTAAATCTATGCTAAATATTCTTTTCATTTTTCATAAACCCAACTCTGCTTCACACTGGCTCATCTTGAAATTCTTTTCTGTAGTGAAGTCATGGCTTCACGTGATTGGAGGTCCCTGAAAGATTAGGGGATGCCTCAGGCCACTGGGGCTGTTGTAGCTCGTGTCTCATGCCACATAGCCACCAATACATATTCAGATTTTTAAAAGACCATTAGAAGGAAGTAGAACTACAGAAGTGAGGGCCGAGTTGGAAGATGTTAGTTTCTAGAGACGTGTGCTTGAGGAAGATTTTAGGCCCAATCTCTCTTGTCTCTTTCTGCATTCTGGCTACCATGCAACGAGTGACTGGTAATGCTTCCCCATACCCTTTCACACTGATTCTAGCTACAGCCAAAGAGCCTACCTGAAACCTCTAAAGATGTGATCCAAAACAAACCTTTCCTTTAAGTTGTCTTGCTCAGGCATTTCTTCATTAGTGGTGTATAACTAAATCACTCACATGAATTTTTATAGAAAATCATTCTGTATAAAGGTACTTTTTGGCAAGGAAGAGTCTGCTTGAATCACCCTACCCCTGAGCTTCAAGTTCAATCAAAATAACTAACTATATCATGTGCTCAGGTGCATCATATAGAACCAGTAAGTCTCCCCAAAACCAGCACAGGGAGTCTTGGCTCCTGGGCTGTATCTCAAGCAGGCCCTAGCAACCCTCAAAGTTATGGAACAGGAAACTCCACACTCTCCAGGAGTAAGAGAAGGAGCTTTAGAGCTAATCTGATTATATTTTGTAGGAAGTGACAGAGGCTCAGACAAAAGGAGGGATATTGTAGATTAGTGATGAGGGTCTCCACAGCACACATACCAGCCCATCCTCTCTAGTTTCCAACTCAATGCCCTTTCAAGGTACCACAACCTTGAGCAATTCTCTCTGCATTGTCCTCTTCCTAGCTGTGAAAGTTATACTCTGTGTCCCTTTTGCTGGTTGGTAGCTCATGGAAACAAGTTAGCCTGGTGCAAATTGGCTAGATTAGCAAGGGCAGTCCTAACAACCCTAATGTTTCTATTCCTTCCTCAGCTCCTAACTCACTGCTCAGGACCCTCCAACCTCATACAAGTGACAGGGCAGATGAACTGGAGCAGCAGACAGACTCAAGGGTACAGACAAATAAGCAATGGTAAACCCTCCATAGTAACACCATTGTTGGAACTTTGGAATTGAATCACCATCTAGAGCGTTTGGTTCTCAACCTGAGGATTGAGATCCCTTTGAGGGGTGGAATGGCCCTTTCACAGGGTAGCCTAAGACCATTGGAAAACCCAGATATTTACATTACAATTCATAGAACTAGCAAAATTAAAGTTATGAAGTAGCAACAAACATAATTTTATGGTTGGGAGTCACCACAACATGAAGAACTGGATTAAAGGATCACAACATTAGGAAAGTTGAGGACCACTGCTCTAGAGGGAGAAGCACTTGAAAGTAGGGGTGGGGTGGGGTAAGGAGGGAGGGTGGGATGGTAGGAGGTATAGAGGGTGCTCTCTAGTTTCCTCTAAACACAGCATGAGGGTGTTTGTAACATAATTATGGCCACACATGACCTGGCAGTGGTTGTTTAGAGCAGATAGCAGGCAGGCTAAAGGTCTCCTGTGCCATCATTAGAGAAATGTCTGTTCTGCATCCTTCCAGGATGGGTGGCAGCAACTGCAGAAGCCACTCCAGTCCTATCACCTGCTCACTTTAAAACATGCACTGAAGTCCTTCTAAGTGCCAAGAACTCTGCTAGGCACTCAAAAGTCCGTCCCAAAAGAACAAAAGAAGCTCTGCTCTTGGACTGTAGAGAGAAGCAGACAAGAGACCTGGGGAAATGGCTTGGTGGGTAACGTGCTTGTTGCACAAGGCATGGGGACCTGTGGTATACTGATTCCCACAACCGTGTGTATGTGTGTGTGTGTGTGTGTGTGTGTGAGAGAGAGAGAGAGAGAGAGAGAGAGAGAGAGAGAGAAGAGAGAGAGAGAGAGAGAGAGAGAGAGAGAGAGAGAGAGAGAAGGAAAATAATGAATGTTTATTTGAGACAGGGTCAAATCTTGCTGTTTTAGTCTCCTGAGGACTGAGAATAAAGGTACATGCTACCACCTTGCTAACAATGAATACTTAACACAAATAATGTCCAAAGTAAGAGAGTGCCATGTCTGTTCATGTGATGATGGGAGGGGCTTGGACAAGAGGATAGTGGGGTTACAACTTAAAACTACCAGCACTCAACAAGTAGGCACCATTTGAGCAAGGGCCTGAAGAAGGTGGACCTGAGCCAGAACTCAGTGCTCCCCTCCCCGACCTCCCGGCCAAGTTTAGCTGGGCTTTACTGGCTCCTGCATTTGCCTACTCTTTAAAATGTCTCCTACTCTATGCTGCGGCACTTCTCACCAGTATCTCTAACAGCCAGGCTGGGGCTGCTGGGGCTCTCACTGGAAAGGAAGGAAATGCTAAACCACAGGCCCCATGCAGAGCAGCAAAGAGCCAAAAGGACAGGAAGGTGCAGTTTGCAGGAGGTGGCAAAACTTGGGCCTCCCAGGGCTTAGAAGGGCTTCTGAGAACTCTTCCTAAACTGTGAGGACCCCATGCTGTGTAGGCTGTTGAGTTGCTCTGTTAGCCAGAGGCCACGGAAGTGGCTGTTAGCTTTGTGTCAACCTACCAAGTTGCACCCCACCCCTAGTGTATCAAATGACAGTGAATGGCAGAGGTGACACAGCTTCCCCACAAACCCCCAGCCCTCTCTCCTTAACCTGAGAAGGAGGAAGAGAAGGCTGGGGAGCCACACAGTTCCTTTTGCTTTCCCTCATCTTAGAGTGGCGCTGGCCCTGAGGAGGGACTGAGCCTCTCAAAGGAAGTCAAGCCATTGCAGGAGGTGACATCAGATAATAATGGACTAGGTCCCAGCCGAACAGCATCTCTATTTGCGTGACCGGGGAAGACTTCATCATGATAGTCTGTCTCTCCCAGTGAGGCACAAGGAGCAGAAACTTCAGGCCCCAAGGCCAGCATCCTCTATGTATCTTCAGGAAAGTATTTTCCATGCAAATGTTGAAGATTTTTGTTCATTTGTTTTAATCTTTGTCATAAGTAGGTTACATCTGAGAACTTTACTTCCTATGCATCAGGATCACCTATGCACCTGTCACGTAGGCCTCCCCCAGGATCCACTGAATCCCACAGTGGATGGGGAGGAGCTCCCACAAGCCAGAAGCAGTTCTAATGATCAGAAAATCTTGCAGAGTAACACCTGTCACTCTTGATTCCTATGGAGATTGTTATTCATAAAATGGAAGAGGGAAAGAAGAAGAGAAGGAAGTTTGAAATTACTAAGGGAGTAAGGTTGGAGAGTGGAGTGAAAGAGACCACAGGGCCTCATCAACCTGAATCCACCTCCACAGCTCGCTTCTCCATAGTTCATTCTAGCATCAACCTTGCCAACGGTATTCCACTTGTGGGCCTTGAGCTAAATGTGCTGATCACTCAAGAAGAAAGAAATACAAAAGGGGGGGGGGGGAGAGAGAGAGAGAGAGAGAGAGAGAGAGAGAGAGAGAGAATCAGAGCACAGGAAACACAGAAAGCGTAGGCCTTGTCTAATGCAAATTCAAGTTTTGCTGCCTCAGT